GCTGTGTCTTCCCAAAACCTGCACGCAGGGGTAAGGGTCAGGACATGGTCACTCAAAGTTGGTGTGACAAATCCGAGGGGGAAGCAGCGGTGGGCGCTGGGGAGTAGAGGGGATCGTGGAAGCGGCTGCTTTCCTGAGACTTTTTGTGAGACGAAGTGCTTAATGGGTGCAAAGCTGGAATAAGGATCCAGAGGTCCCCACACCACCACCCTCTTCCCTGGAAGGCAGGACGCTTGACTGGGTTCCTAGGTAGGGGCAAAGAATGTGGGGGGAAATGGAGGAGGCGACAGACCTGGGGTCCGGTTTGTGAGCCCTTGTGGAGTCAAATGTGCTGGCATTTGCACAGGAGGGCTCAGCCTGAACACAGCAACCATGCACCAGGCTAAACACACACACACACACACTCTCTCTCTCTCTCTCAGAAATAGACTTGCTTCAGAAGCTGTGCCGGGGAGTTTGTATCGGCGCAGATGCCGGTGAACGCATTCCTAGCAAGCCGAATCCACTGTTTGACTCAAGAGTGTGTCAGTTGGCTGCGGTTTTACCACCCATCCATCTCTCAGCAGGAGAGGAATCCCCCACTCCTGGACCCTCCCCCAACTTGAGCCCTGCAGATTCTACTGCTACAGGCAGTCCTCCCCTGCCCCCAAGTAAAATATCAAGGGGAGGAGTCAAGGGTGGGTGGGGAGGATACAGCACGCTAATAGCACAACTTCAACTTGTCTCCAAGATTTGTGAAATGCTAGGCCTAAGGGCCCCCTCCAACACTCCATTCTTCCCAAGTCACTCGGTGGGAGTAAGTCAATTTACCCATAAACGCACAGCAAAGCCACAAAACCAATTTTATTTAATGGCAATAACAAATACAGAATCAAATTAAGGCAGTATTCCATTGCCACTCATCCTTACAAACTTTGGTACAGTAAACTCAGCTTAAAGTGTCAGTTTGAAATAATAATTGAATTTGTATTAAACTCTGTTTTCCCTTGACTTCTAATGAAAACACATTTCCCAGGCTGTCATGGATGCTGCCAAGACCTCACCAACTTAACCTTGCTGACTCTTGGCCAAGTGGAGTGCGACTGGCCATCATCTATCTCCCTCCCTGGGGAGGAGGGGGGGGGTAAGATCCTAACTGAGAAAGGCTTTATAGAAACAATCCTTTTCCAACCTCTACAGCAGTACTCTGCCATTCAAAAACATCTTTAGAATGCAAACCAAAAAGGTAAAAACAGTGTAGAAACTCATAAGGCTGTTTGGGAAATATCTCCAAGGTCAAGAGTAGTTATAACTTTGAATACTAAAAGCATGACTGGGATTGATTCTAGTGACCTGGAATTGGGAATTTAGGAGAAGCAGCCAGTTTGTGAATGGCTGTAGTTCTCAGGCAAACACTAAAAGAGGTGGGTGGGTGACTCCATACTTGACTATAAAAACTAGCAGGGATCTGGAAGTCCGTGCAACCATGCTTTCCTTTTGCCATACAGGTTAGTATGCATAAGCATCTATTTAAATGTGATGGTACAATTGTATTCTTCAGATGTGAGGTCTATTCGAAAGTCACTGAAGTTTGGAAAAGAACCAATTTAAGTACTTGCACTTAATTGCAACAGCTTTCTTGACTGCCATTAGAAGGACAATGGAGCCACACACTTAAACACGAAGCTGTGTAGGTGCAGTGACTGAGGCTATGTAGGTACAGTGACTGCAGAGAAGCCTTTTACCATTGCACATGCACTCCTCCTCCACCCCTTGAGAAGTGGGAGAAGAAAGCAGGACTGAGGAAGGGAAAGAAACGGGGGACATGGGGCAAAGTCAAGTCTAAGGTCGGAGGACACCTGTGGACTGAAGGTCAGCCAGTCAACGAGGGGGAGGCTGTGACAGCAAATGGGAAACTTTGGAGGAAGGTTGTCTTTTCTGAGTACAGCTGGGAAAGGAGAAGTATGCTCGGATGGTGGATGGAGCCCACAGCACGTGTGTCCATACCTGAACGTGTCCGTGTGTGGGTCAACATAGCAGCGCACTTGGGATCATGTAAACATGGAAAGTCTCACATGACCACTTCTTCCAAATCACCTTCGACATCAATGACCACAATCTTGGGAAGGCCACCAGCCACGGCAGGCTCGGCAGACCCAGATGGGCTGGCAGTGGGCTCAGTGGTGTCAGAATCCAGGCTGTTACCAGTGTCAGTGGTCCCTGGATGGCTAGTGGTGACAGGATCAGAGCAGAAAGCACTGAGGGGCTCAGGCCTAAAGTGGCTAACAACAGGCTTAGAGTAGCTAATGGAGGGGCTAAAGAAAGCCTTGCAGGGGCCACTGGCAGGGCGGTGGAAGCCAAGGATAGGCCTGGGCTGGGTGGAGACAGACTCACAGGGGACAGGGGAAGGCTTAGAGCAGTCCGTGACAGACTTGTGCTCCAGCGCTGACTTGGAGTCCAGATCAGGCTGGCCAAGGGCGCCTGGGAGTGGAATATTCCAGGCACTCATGGGTACTTCTTCCACAACAGGAGCAGTACAGGCTTTTTCTTGTTCTTGTTCTTGGGTTTGGGCTCGGGCTCGGACTTGGGCCCAGGCCCGGGCTTCCCAAGTCTCCCGGATGTCAGTGAGGGTGCCTGAGACAAAGAGGACAGGGTGCCGCAGAGCATGGAAGATGAGTGCGTATTCTCTTCGGAAATTCTCATTGAAGATTCCGTAGACCACAGCATTGAGGCAGCGATTGAAGTAGGCTATGAAGTAGGCAGCGAGATGCAGCCAGTTGGGAATCTTCTCCACCACCCCCCTTGGGCTCAGAGCCACCACGACAGTGAGTACATTGAGTGGACCCCGGCACACAGCAAAGAGGATGAAGATGACAAACATGGTTAAGAAATTTTGCGTCTCCGCCAGCAGGTTTCTGGGGCTCTTCCTCACCTCTGTGCGGGCCTCCTGCACCTGCATCCAGATCTGGACATAGCAGAAGCCCACCATGAAGAGTGGGAGGATGACGTGGACGCACACCGCGACCACGACCAAGATAGGGTGGTTCAGGTACTTGAAGACGCAGGAGTAGGTGTGAGGGTCATAATCGATGGTGCCAATGTACACGTTGGGCAGGACGGCCACGAGGGTCATGACCCAGGTGCCCACCAGGTAGAAGAAAGTGTTGCGTACACTGAAGAGCCGTTCATACTTGAGGCTGTGACAGATGTAACAATAGCGGTTGACGGCGATGGCTATGAGGTTGAACGTGGAGCCCACCTCACTGAGCCCTGTGATGAGTCCGACCATCTGGCACTGGAGGTGGCCCAGATCCCAGTCGCCGACAGACATGGCATGCAGCATCAGAGGGTAGGCGTACAGTGCCACCAGCATGTCTGCTATGGAGAGGCTGACCACGAAGATGTTACCTGAAAAACAGCAGAGGGGGCAGAGGGAGAGAGGGAAAAAGAAATGATTAACTGTAGGCAGTGGCAGTGTGGCCTGTCTAGTCAGAATCTGCGCAGAGCTCTCTGGCCAGTTCTCAGAGGCAGGAGAGGAGATTGCCCATCCTTCTCCCATGGAGCAGCTGGTGACCTCGAACTGCATCCCTTCTGGAGTGCAGGGCAGCTTCTTGCCACCAGCTACAAAATTAAAGAGCACAGGACCTTCTGAATTCAGTACCATCCACAAATTCCTTGAAAGAAACTCACGGGTATTTTTTTGTTTATTAACAAGTGTGTCCAGGTGATTTTAAGGAACAGCCTGGTTTGGGAGACATTTGCCCACCTCTTTTCTTCTCCTTTAAAGGGGGAAAATCTCAACTTTGAGGATACAGAGAGCAGAGAGCAGAGGGGGGCTGGAGGCGGGTTGGGAGAGGCGGGCAGGAAACTCCAGCTCTAGAGGAAAAGAATACACCCCAAGCCCTCTAGCCCAGCCCTGCCTTTGAGACACCTGAAGGAAAAGTGAGACGGGAGAAATCAGAAGTAGGGGGGACAAAATAAGGCAGTTACTGCTCCTGGAGAAAGACTGCGGTGCAGTCGCCACCACTGCCACTTCGCTTCCCCATCGCGGGCCCTCTGACAAAGGGAAAGAGGGGGCTTATCTCACTTGTGCCTCGTCGACAGCCTCAGGGACGTTTCCTAAAACCTTTCCTAGACGGTCGAGGGAAGACCCCAAGTGCTTAGCGAGGGAAGCTCTCCGGGTCAGAGTCGCTCTGGCCCTTGTACAGGAGGAAGGAGCGCGGTGCCCAGGACCCCGGACTGCTCCGCCTGCGCGCACCGCCACGGCGCGGGCAGCCCCAGAGCTCGTTCAGGGCTTTCCTTTCAAGTTACGGATTCGAAGAAACTCAGGGAAAAGAGAGGGCAAATCTTTGAAAACAAAAGGACAACGACAGCAACCGCCTTCATGCAAGTCTGAGCAATCAGCGCCAAGTCAGAGCGCTTCCTCCGCCGGCGGCTGGCGGGCTGCGCGGGCTCCGGAGCGCAGCGCGGGGAGGGGAGGTCCCAGGGCCGTGGCGGCTCCGGACAGGACAGCGGGGTCCGACCCTGCGCCAGAGGGAGCTGAGGACAGGACTTTCCGCCCGCCTGCCGCCCCTGGGCTCCAGTCGCCGACCTCCGTGGGCACCTCGCCGCTCTCTGTCCCCATCCCTCCTCCGGCGCCCCAATGTGCCCAGCCGCGCCGTCCCCTGAGCTCGCTGCCGCGGCTACCTGCATCAGAGCTCCGCGCCCTCTGCCTGCGTCCCCTCCTCTGTCCCAGTCCGGTCCCCGCCGTCCTCTCCGCTCCTGTCCTGGACCGGTCCCGGTCCTCTCTGGCTGCTGCCTTCCGTCCCTCCGCGCGCTCCCCGCATCCCTGCTCCAAGCAGTCTGCGCCAGCATTCCCAGCTGCGGTCTTCCGTCTCGCAGCCCTTTCCGTTCTGCGCGCCCCATCCTCCCTGCTGCCTCCTTCGGTCCCCTGTGCCCTCGGCCCTCTGGTCCCCAGTAGGTTCCCATAGTCTCCTGTCGGCCGCCTTCCATCCCACTGCCCACCTTGGCTCTGCGCCCCGCTTACTGCGCGCCTGGAAATGGGTAGACAGACTTCGTGCGCCCTGGCTGAATAGACAGGCTTTGCAGTCCGGTGGGTCGCTGCCGGTGGGGACCAGCCAGCGTTGGTGCTGCCTTTCCGGGAAGCGCCACTGCAGCCTCCGGTAACTTTACTTTCCGTGTGGCTCGCCAGCGTGCTTCGAGCCTCCGGAGTCCTTTCAGCCAGCACGGCTCCAGGGTCATCCCTGCCACGTCCGATTTAGGTTCCCTCTGCATCAGGTCCCCAGCCAGGCATGGCTCGCCTGGCTGCCGTGAACCGCCTCTAAGTTTATGGAAGACCCCCAGGCTCGCGGTAGACTGGGAGGAAGAATCATTCCACAGCTTGTCTTTTCGGGACCCCCAGACCAAACCCCTCAGGGTCAAAAGCAGCTGCACACCGGCTAGAGAGAAGGGAGAGCGGCTTACCGGAATTGCGGAGTTTCCTATTCTTCGACACGGCTAGGATGACCATGGAATTGCCGATCAGGTCTACCACGATGGTGACGACCATCGCACAAAACATAAAAGTGACCAGAGCCGGTGGGTAGTCTGGCTCAGGTAGTTCCCAGCCAGTACAGGCCGAAGCGGTGGGCTCGGCCAGGGTGGTACCCATGGCGTCCCCGGTGACTGGCATGGCCTCCAGCGCGCCCAGGATCGATCAGCAGCCCAGACTGGCGGAAAGCACCTGCTCAGCCGGAGCTCCGAGAAAGCGTGGCGCTCCCTCCGAGAGCCAGAGTGCAAATGACACGCTCCCCGCCCACTCCGGTGAGCTTTTAAAGCCTCTAGAGGCGGCTGGCCACACCCCAAACCCCGCCCTCCGACCAATCAGAGTTTTCTCACCACCCCCGCCTTGGATTTAGACAAATCCACATGGAGGGGTCGTCTTGCCTGGTAAATTCTTCCTATCCAGTCATCAGCCTCCCCCTGCGACTCCCCCCACTCTCAGTGTCGTGACTAGCTTGGAGTCCAGCCCCCCAGAACTACTGTTACCCGCCCCGCTGCCTCGTTTAAAGCACGTTCTTCCCGTCTTCTCTCTTTACTAAAGCAAACCTCCCACAAAGCGCAGAGGGGCAGCATGGCTACAGCCAGCCCCCAGCGCCCAGCAGAAGGGAACTGGCTGGAGGCCCTTTGAACCCCTACTGTCTTCGTGGCAGGTTGATCTGAACTCGATGTGGTGGCCTTTCCCTCAAGGAGCGGGGGACATCCTCCGAGGGCTCTCGCCCCCAACTCTGGGTCCCCGATCTCTTCACTCTCATACCCGCAGAAAGCCAATTCGCCCCTTGAATGGCAGCTGACCGCTCGAAGCCGGGAGCAGGTTGGGTCCCCGGAAGGAAGCAGAGGAGGCAGAGGAGGGTGCTTCAGGAATGAGTAAAATGGGCAGGAAAGGGGCTTTCAGTTCACCCCGTCTCTGTCTGGGGCGGGCTGTAGCCGTGACCCACAGATTTCCTTCACCGGAGCTCAGGAGCACGTGGGTCACTGGAACCCCAGGAATTCAGGCTCAGCTAAAGAGGCACGAAGGAACAACTCACCTCCACAACAACCTCAATTGCGGGAGTGAGTTCCTATCCGTTTCCAAAAGTCACGGTTTACGCAGAAAATACCCGTAATCCCTTTAAAACGTTCTCGGTGGACTCCCTGCCTTGGGGGGTGCACTGGCGGGGAGCGCCGTCGTCTGGCCGCAGCCTACCCTGCCCTGCGGGGCAATGGACGTGGAGCTGGGGTGTCCCCTGCGGGACTCAGCGTTAAGAGACTTTCTGCAGCCAGACTACGTGCCTCCATCCTGTGCTCTACCCGACTCCGAGGTGCGCACGCCGAGCAATCCCTGCCCCCCAGTTTCTCCGGACCCAGGCGAGTCGGGCCACACAGACCCTCAGCCACCGGGCGCCCCTGCCGAGAGCCCATGTGCACTGTGGACGCTGGGTAAGATCCGCTCCTGGGGCGCTTCGGAATGAACATAACCCCACTAGCGCCCAGTCAAATCTGAAGAAAAGGGGAAAGGCAATGGAGACCGTATTCTGTACTGTTCTAAAAACTCCCAACCAACAGGTGGCGGGGCGGGGGGCTGCCCAAGGTGGCCTAGGGGTGCGAAAGCCCTGCCAGGTCTCGCTGGGATGAGGGAAAGGACCTCCACCCCATTAGATCTCCGGAGGGTCAGGGGACAGTTCTTCAGTCAGTCAAATCCATTTTCTTCCTTTTATGAATTGGTCTTAATAAAGAATCTGGGCGAAGGAGCGGGGAGCGTGGAGGGGCGCCCACCACCAAGGGGGAATGGGGAGTAGGGGACGGAGCTGGGAGCCGCTGAGACGGTGGAAGGAGCCCGGAGAGACCGCTGTGCACGGAGCCCGAGGGAAATGGAGACCCTGCGGTTGCATGGACAGTGTTATTCACTGATTTGCCAAAGTGGCAGAACGGAAGTGATGTTTAGACGAGGCAGTGTAAAGGAGTGATTCTGAAAATAAGATTTCTTTTCCATTTCTTATAAGAGTAGCAACGTACTTTGTCTCCCTAATTTACAAGTTACAGATCTAAGAAAAAAAATTAATACTTTACATTTCAAGCATTTAAACTGGCCACAAGACTTTGGGCGTGTGGGTTTTTCAGACACTCAGTATTCACTGGTTCCACTATGTTAAAACAATAGTGAGTACAAGTGTCAGGGTTGAGAAGGCACAGAACGAGATGTGAAGTCACCACAGGCCAAGAGGCAGCCAGATGTCCTCTCCCTGGTAACGCAGATTATCGCTTCACCACTTGATGGATGTTTCTGACTGATCTGCACAACTAGTATTCAAATGCACTTTTGCAGCCAGTGGGAGAGGAAATGGCAGGGACTAATCAACTGTGCATTCGACGCTGGACTACCAAGCATGTAGCTGTTTTGGCTGAAAGATGAAGGCGTTCTTGAGTATGTGGGTATCTTATCCAATAAGCATCTGCTTGATGGAATCACACCGCTCACATTGACTGAATATGACCTCCGGTCTCCTTCTCTGGAAATCAAAGTTTTGGGGGACATTAAAAGGTTAATGCTCTCAGTTGGCAAATTGCAGAAAATTCATATTGATGTTTTAGAAGAGATGGGCTACAGTAGTGACAGGCCTCTGGGTCCCATAACCCCTTCCATCAGTTCTCTTCAGGGCTCTGACTGGCTCTGTAGTGGGGACCCTTCACATGACTGTGATGGACCCATCACCGACTTGAATTCTGATTAGTACCAGTACATGAATGGTAAAAACAAACGTTCTGTTTGAAGACTGGACCCAGAGTATTGGAAGACAATACTGAGTTATAGATATGTTTTTATAGTATTTGGATTTACATCCTTCATTATGGTTATAGTTCATGAGTGACACCTGACATGCAGACCTATCCACCACTCCCAGATATATTCTTAGTGTTCCCAGGATCCCATGGGCCTTCGCTATGACAGAAGTATGTGGCATGATTCTGTCCTGTATTTGGCTTCTGGTACTATTCCTCCACAAGCACAGGTCAATCCTTCTGTGAAGGCTCTGTAACCTGATGGGCACTGTGTTCTTGCTTGGCTGCTCTACCATGTTTGTGACCTCCCTCTCCGTGCCAGGGCAGCACCTGCAGTGTACTGGGAAGGTGTACGGCAGTGTGTGGGAGAAACTACACTGAGCCGTTGCCATTTGGAGTGGCTTCAGTATGACCCTGACTGGCGTAAACACGTGTGGAGATTACATGTTCAGTGACCACACAGCTGTCCTGACTCTGCTGAATTTCCTTGTCACTGAATATACACCAAGAAGCTGGAATTTCTGGCACACTTTATCCTGGGTTCTCAACCTCTTGGGAATCTTCTTCATTTTGGCTGCCATGATGTGTTTATTGCCTTTTATATCACAAGACTCTTGTTGTACTACCACACTCTGGCCAGCACCAGCGCTTAGCAGCAGAGTAGGAGAGCAAGGATTGGGTTCCCCAGGTTTTCTTTTTTTGAATGCAATGTTAATGGTACAGTACCTAATGAATATTGTTGGCCATGTCCAAAACCAGCAATAATGAAAAGGCTAATTGGATGAGAACAGTATCCCTGTGATAAGTTCATGATTAAACATACAGTAATTGTTGAAAATTAATAACTTTGCTTTCTCCCCCTAGGATGGTCCTGGAAGCCTTGCTTTTTGGCTTAATTTTGACAAGGTAAAGCTCCCTGTTCTAATCAAGGCTGTCATTGTAAAAAAGCAAAAATGAACAATCAGGAGTCCTTACATTGTTGGGGTAGGGGAAAAAAAAGAGTCTATACATTGTTGTTTGAACAGAAATTTAAGTAGATGTCCTCTGCTTCTCCTGTTTGGGCAGAGTTAATACTTTGATTGAAGGCAAGCTGTTCTGCTACACCTGTTGAGTATTTACTTAATAAACAAACTTAATAAACTTAAATTAAGCACATTAACTTTTTTAAAAAAAGAATCTGAATATTTCCTGGTACTAAGAAAGCAGTGGATGACAGTGAGAAGAAACCGCAAAAGTTACACCGCCTTGAATCAGTTCGGGAGGCAAGGGCAAAGTGGGGAACCGACCACTAGCTGGCAGAGGTTGCTGTATTGGTTATCTAAGCTCCAAACGCTCTTTAATTGAGCTCTTTTCTGAAGGGTCAGCTTAAGAAGCCATAGTCACCAGTGTTGGAGAGAAATACTCTATCTGCGATTTGGAACCTCCGGTGCCCAGGTCGCCGCTATGAGTAGCCTCCGACTCGACAACACTTAACAGCAGCAACGACAGCATAGAGTCAAAGGTGGGTGACTCTAATCTGCAGCCCTCAGGCCTTTACTTCTTTTTGGTGAAACATTCTAGGTCGTATAACCCTGGTCTGTCCACTTGCTGTACAGAGGTAACTTGTGGTTGCTGTGAAGGCAAACACTGTGACACTGATGTGTCAAATGCGATCATGGTTACCCATAGAAGACAGTGTTTGGTGGAGCTCCCCAATTAAAACAAGCTTGGCAGCAGCAGTGGCATTCACTTCCACAATAGCTTGCCTCCGGAAACCCTATGAACGTGGAGAAAGGACAAAATTTATACTGGTGCCCAGGTTTTTCATTCACAGGGTCGCTATGAGTTGCCTCCGACTCGACAGCACTTAACAACAACAACAACAACAGAACCTGGTAGGGAGAGCAAATAGCAGAGGTTCAGGACATTCCCCAGAGCTTGAAAGGATCCCCAGCAAATTCTAGAAACAAGATATGAGATTGAGGGGAAGAAACGAGTGAGAACATTGCAGGTTTGAATGGAGAGGATATGGAATCCCTGGTGGCATGAGTGGGTGGAGCACCCGCCTCAGAAGCAGGTCTGGTGAGGGACTTCTCTGCAGTCCGCTCGGGAAGACCCTCTGGATGGCAGTTCTGCTCTACATGGGGTTGGGGGGAGTCAGAGGCCACAGGATGACTGTAACTGCTTGGTTGGGTTTGAGTTTAGATGGGACAGAGCTTCTATTCCCGGAGCAGAAAATCATGCAGAGAATCCTAGTGTTGGTGAAGGGGTTAAAGGAGAAAATGGGAGGATGCACTTCGAACAGCACAGAACGTCGGCTCTTTCAGTTCCTAATAGCTACTCACGTCATTCTGAAAGTCCCCAATACTGTTC